CACTGGAAACTTTGTTGTTCTACATACGGCATTCTTCCCTTTTTAGAAGGTGATTTTGTTCTACAAAATTGGGGACCACAGGGGGTGGTAGTCCAAGATAAAAAGAAACATTACAAAGGGCATCCATGGAACTGGACAATGCCACATGTGAATGTTTCAGCTGATTGGAATCCAGGATTGGCTGGTCCCTTATTTTGTTTATGTGGTAACACTCAGTGTTCACCTCTTAAAACAAGATCTTGGTGTGCAGCTATACCTTATTTCCCTTATACCATTCGCCAAGATCAAGCTTCCTTTACCCAAGGATAGTTTATTTGGGATTTTACTGATAAACACAATTTTTCTAAAGTTTGCACTCCCCATCCCTATTTGTTTCTCTTGTCTCCTGCTCTCCCCTTACGTTCATAAGATATTACTTTTCCAAAAGGTACTACAGGGCCTCACTGGTGGTGCAAGGGGTTAAGACACAACCTATGAAGCAGTCCACAGCCTCTGCAGCATAAGTTCAATCCCCAGCTGGCCAGGGAGCTCCCCTGCTGCTCCCCTCAGCAGTGTACTTCGGTCAATCTGCCTGTTCTGTTCCCTACTCTCTCTGGTGAATCCTCCCACCCCCCACACCTTTGGCTTGTACCCCAGCTCTTGTATGCATAAATAAATAAATCTTTTTTTTTAAAAAAAAGCTACTACAGTCACCTCTTGTATTGATTCTTTGGTTTCATCTAAACACTCAATTTTCTTTATTAAACAACATATGCATGCACGGATTCCAGTCAATCTGACTCATCCATGGGATGGCGGCTCCCCTTTAAGCCGACTAGTTCAGGCTTTAGACGGAGTCTGCCATGTGCGCCGCTTTTTAGGAGCATTAATTGCTGGAATCACATTAGTCTCCTTGGCTGCTACTGTGGCAGTGGCATCCACTACATTGGACAAATCATTACAAACTGCCAATGAGGTACATCAATATATGACCAATACTGGGCCTTCCTGGTAGCACAAGGGGTTAAGCAAGGCACTATGAAGCAATCCATTGCCTCTGAAACATGGGTTGGTTCCCCGGCTGGCCTGGGAGCAGCTCATGGTGCAGCAGACCTCTCCCGTCTCACCCGCTGCTCCCCTCAGCAGTATATTTCAGTCAGCCTGCCTGTTCTGTACCCCACTCTATCTCTAGTGAATCCTCTCACCCCCGACACCTCTGGCCTGTACCCTAGCTCTTGTATGCATAAATAAATCTTTAAAAAAATATATGACCAATACTGCTCAGGACTTGCTAGAACAGGTGCACATTGACCAGCAGATTTTACTTAGATTAGATGCTCTTGAATCAGCAGTTCTATGGCTTGGTGAGCATCAACAAGCCTTATGTACTTGTTCTCTTTTGAGATGTGATTCCGGATTTACCTGGCTGTGTCACTCATTATACTGCTAAAAATGTAACTTCATATTCCTGGGATTTTCACAAAAAAGATTTGTTACGAGCTTTCAGCTCTCCACTAGCTTCCTCTGTTGATGATCTGAAAGAACAATTGTCAATCCAGTTGGACTAGTTTAAAAAGCAAACATGGGCCTCCCTGGTGGCCTCTGCAGTGCAGGTTTGATCACGGCTGGCGGGGATAACCACATGGCATGGCAGACCTCTCCTGTCTCTCCTGCTGCTTCCCTCAGCAGTGTATTTCAGTTAGTCTGCCTGTTCTGTTCACCAATCTTTCTGGTGAATTCTCTCACCCTGTAAGGACAGGAATGACGCTGAGCAGGTTTTCTGATCCAGCAGACTGGGTAAAGGAGGAGTCAGAGTCCTCAGTGGTTTTTGCAGGTTTTTTATTGGGGTTCACCAGGCATACAGCAGGCAGGGGAGCTGGGGGGCCTGGAGGCTGGCAGGCCTCCCAGCCCCCAGCAAGTCTTCACTCTGGGCTCTCCAGCCTTCTCTTGGCTTCTGCTTTCTGCTTCTCGGCTTCTGCTGCTGCTGGTGTCCCCGTGACGCCGCCCTTAAAAAAGCACAGTCTCAATGCAGGTGAATCCCATCTACCTATGCCCACACCCTACTCCAGGTGCCTGCCATCAGGCATGCATTCAGGACCGCAAGGATCCATCATCTATCCTGATGGCGGGAGGGCAGAAAAGTCTGACATTTTTCCTTACCCTACACACCCCCACACCTCTGGCCTGTACTCCAGCTCTTGTATGCATAAATAAATAAATCTTAAAAAAAAAAGAACTGACAGGTTAGTTTACTCTTTAAAGGTGGGAAGACTTGGAGATCGAGGCCACAGCAGTCAACTCCATTGCACTTTGGCTGATATGATTCTAGCAAATAGAGGAATATTTCATTAGAAATTAGTGCAACAAACAGAGGATTGTGATCATCCATTTTCAATATACAGACTGTAAACTGCTGATTACATTGCATTAAGTCCAGATGGCAGAATCTGCAGGGCTTAATCAGATAACAATCTGATTTCAGGAGCTGACTTTTCAGAGGGAAATGACTTCTGATAGAACCATAGTTGCTTTTCCATTTATGATATGTTCTTTTTAAAAAATTTATTATAATTATTATTTTTTAGATTTATTTTTATTTATTTATACAAGCACTGGGTACAGTCAGAAGTGCGGGAGGGTGAGAGAATTCACCAGAACCAGAGCGGGGAACAGAACAGGCAGACTGACGAAATACACTGCTGAGGGGAATAGCCTGTGCGGCAGGAGAGTCTGTCGTGCCATGTGGGCCCCTCGCTGGTGGCCGGGGATTGAACTGCACTGCAGAGGCTTCAGGTAGACTCGCAGCCCAGTGCTCAACTGCTGCGCCATCTGGGGAGGCCCTATGATTTGTTCTTATGGAGAATCATCTGTGAAAGAAAGCCATCTGACTTTGGAAGTTCAGAAAAGCTACTTGGAAGAACCGTGATTTTATATTTCAAGACATTTCTCTGCATTGCCCAAACCCCACAATTTCTTCAAGTCCAAACTTGTTGACAACAAAATAAGTTTGTTTCTATCAAGGTTGATTCTTTTATTTTTTAAGATTTATTTATTTATGCATACAAGAACTGGGGGACAGGCCAGAGGGGCAGGGAGTGAGAGGATTCACCAGAGACAGAACAGGCAGACTGACTGAAATACACTGCTGAGGGGAACAGCAGGCAAGTCAGGAGAGGTCTTCTGCGCCATGTGGGTAGCTCCCTGGCCAGGGATAGAACTTGTGCTTCAGTGGCTGTGGATAGCTTCACAGTTTGCGTCTTAACCCCTTGTGCCACCAGGGAGGCCCTATCAAAGTTGATTCTTTGAGGACAGACTTAACTGGGCACGTTAGTCTGGTCAGGTGATCATGGGGAGGAAGGCCAGCTGAATTAAGATCCATGCTTCCCTCTGTGGTGTAGAACTTACCAGCTTGCTGAATGCTTTTGCCTGTCAGGGATGTTGTGAACTAGTAATTCTCATGCCCAATTCCACATTAAATCATTAGGGAATATTTGAAAAATGTCCCAGTAAAAATCTCTGGAGATGGAGACTGGACCACCATATTTTTAAAACTCCCAGGTGATTCCAGTGTGCAGCCAGAGGTCAGAACCACACCTATAGAGGGGCATTTTGGCATTACTCTTCTGTAGCTCTCAAGAGGTAGGGACTTTTTTGTCCTTGCTCTTTTTCTTGAGAGGTGCCACCCACCACGACCTTGGCATGACCAATGGGGCCAGCTGTGCCAAGGTCCTGCCTGGAGAATGTTCTTGGGCCATGATCATGTAGGGGAGTGATGGGGTGAGATGCTATAATTTTTTTGCATCTTTTTACAGAAGTTTTACATAATAGATCAATTCCCAAACAGGAGGGAAGACACACACTTTGAGGTCCTGACTGTGTCTAAACACTGCCCTGGACTTCCTCACTGTAACCCTGTCATTTCCATTTTATAGATAAGGAAATAGATGACTCGCCCAAAGTCATGAAATTAGGATGTGGTGAAGGACAGTCCTTGGGGCATAGTAGTGGATAAACTAATATTTGTTGGATGAGTGAATAAACTGGAATTTTATCCCAAGTCTGTCTAACTCAAACCAAGCCCCCTTTCCCTTATCCCATAGCTGCTTCTTGCACTCCCTGTTCAAGGCTGCCCATATTTTTTTTTGAATTAAGGCAAGATCATTTCAAAATGGAACTTTCCACATTTCGAACACATTCCCCCCTTCTACATTATACAAATCAAAACTCTGACTAATTATAGAGGAGGCAAATATAGAATTTAGGAAAAGGTTAGCCTTTTAGTTTTTGACCTGGAGTTTGAGTAGATCAACAACTGGAGGTAAAAAGATAGCATGTGGAATTCAGATTCACTAACACTGTCCGGCAACAAATAGAACCTCTTACATGGACATTCATCTCTGGTGCAACATTGGGAGAATTATTTCCTGCAGCAGGTTTTGTTTGGATCCTTGGTATTTGTGACCCAGAGTGTCCCAGGTGGGTGGACATGACTGACTTTATATGCCTTTTAAGTCTATTTTTCTAAATAAGATTTATTTACTTATGCATACAAGAGCTGGGGTACAGGCCAGAGATGCGGGGTGTGAGAGGATTCACCAGAGACAGAGTGGGGAACAGAACAGGCAGACTGACCAAACGAAGTACACTGCTGAGGGGAGCAACAGGCGAGACAGGAGCGGTCTGCTTCGCCATGTGAGTTACTCCCTGGACAACTGGGGATTGAACTCATGCTGCAGAGGCTGCAGATTGCTTCCTAGTGTGGTGCTTAACCCCTTGTACCACCAGGGAGGCCCCATTTTGTTTTGTTTTGTTTCCAATCTTTCAGAACACACTTCTTGAACTGCCATCAATTATGAAAAAATGTGTGTCTAGGGCCAGAAAAAATGAACCCAGAGGCAATGAGTATTTGCAGGAAAAAAGTTTTGCCTTTGTCCACTTAAATGAAGAAAGAACTATGGGAGCCAACCCATCAGAGATTCCCACAAGGCTTTACTCAGGGTGCTCCCAACTGGACTAACCTCTACAGAAGATCCTACCCTTATGGAGACTGAGGATTGCCTCCTACTCTTCCTTTTGGTGACAATGCCTGTGACAGATTCAATGCTCAGGTAAGGAGGAATCTTGCACCCTCAGAGAAAAATCTAGAGACAAGGGCTGCTATCACCCTGAGGAGGGGACGACTGGGATATGGATACCCTTCCTCAGCCCAGCAGCTCAGCAAGACATGTTGCTGAGAGAGCACACTAGCTCTGTGTTAGTAGCAGCAATAGTAGTTTGGTTCCTGAACATGGGTCCAGAGCAGACTGGGAGTGTTGTCTTCAGTTTAGGCTCAAACCTGCTCCCTGTCTGTAAAGGAGATGTTGACGAGAAACTTCTTTCTCTTCCTCTCATTGTTCACTTCTTGGGGATGAGCCAGCTGAATTTTCATTCATAAATGCCAGACGTAAAATATTGATTACACCACTGGCAAACACTTGAATTGCATGATTTTATTTTATCCTTCTGCTTGGATCATGCCTTGTCCATGGTGATGCCATGACACTGGGTTTACAGGAACCCAGCAGGATCACAGTCTGGACTTCCAGGACTGAAGCCAGTATGTCTCCTGCACCCCCACTGCCCTCTCTTTGGCATCTTGCCATCCAGGAGGTGTATCAACAAGCACTGAACACTTTTGTGGGACACAAATTTCTTCTACATGAAATCATGAATGTCATTCCTCCTATAAGCACAAACGTCAGGGTTGAAGATGTAAATGACCATCAGTTCTGAATGACCAGGATTTCCTACAGAGAATGTGGAACTCTGGTGACCCACCTGTTTTTGCCTTGAATGAACGGACTGCACATCAACAGCACTGCTTTTCCTCTCACTTGCACTGATGGTCATGTTTCTCAGACCAGGCCACATTTGTCAATCAATCATGCTCACTGGAAGCTGCCCTCTTCACTCAGCAGGGTGTTTCTGGAGCTTTGCTGGAGGGAATGGAATTCATCTTTTCATTGCATTTCATTCATTTCCCATCTGGCAGATGGGGTATGGTCAGGCATTTATTGAAACTTGGCAGGATCTTGGGAGCACCACATTGCCCGGCCCTCATTCACATTTATTAGGTATAGCATCGCTGACAACCTGGCCAGACCTCCTGCTCTCAAGTCCAGAGCTACTTGTGGTCCTCTGGTGTGTCCACCATGCAGTGTGTGAATTCAACCTCAACATCAAAATCAAAGACTCAAATAACTTTTCTGTTTTAACTATATTCATTCCCTAAACACAATTCTGAACTCCTTCCCCTGCAATTCATTGTACTGTATCTTGGTGTTGGTTTGATGTCTCCCCCCTATATTTTTTGTCTTAAATTAAACCTTTTATTTTGAGATAAATGTAGCACTTCATGCCATTGTAAGAACCGTTCACTTAGTTCCCCCCAGTGGTGACATTCTACATGGCTCTCTAGCACAATATCAAAACCAAGACACTTGGTTTAATGGCTTTAATCTATTCATAGGCACTAGGACATTTTTAAATTTAGAGGAGTCACATTTGCATTATTGACTCTTTTATGACTATCAGGTAACAGGTAAGGATTGAAGTTAGATGAATGGATAGACATGGCCTTTCTGGGAGAAAAACTTCCTAAGGCTTCCAGCTCTGTCATCTGCAACAAGGGATCAAAGGAGAGGAAATCAGTTTACAATGCATAATGATATGTCTTTATTTCATCAACAGAAATGGTGTCTAGACAAAATTCAGTTAACACTAGCAATTCAATTGAGTGAAAATTTTTTTTTGCACAATAGTGTATTTACAATGAGTAAATGAAGTTTCAATTCATTAGTTCATAGCAATGTTTTTTTTCCCCAAAAAGGTAAAAATTCTTAGTTACAGAGACTAAGCATCAACAGCCATTTCATTTTACAATAAAAACCACAAGAAAAACCACAGTCACTTAGAAAAAAAAGACAAGCCTAACAACTAGTACAATAAAATGATGCATTGAATTAAGTTACATTAATCGCATAGAATCTGTGTAAAAAGTATGTAGAAAAACACCTGATGTAACCTGTTACAGTCGTTGACCAGTTATGAGAGGTACAGAGGGTTATACAGGTAGATATGTGTGAAAACTGTCCGTATTGTTCGACCTGGGGAGGAAGAGGAGAGGGGCTGCAGCCCCTTGCATACACTGAGAAGACCCTGTTTTGAATATGGCCTCTGGAGTTTGTAAGGCATATATTAGAGGTGCACTTGCATCAGACTGGTTCTGGAACAAATTTTACAGGCCCTTTCGGCCTCCTAGGCAAAGTTGGTACTTGCCATGAATGGCTCACGGTGTCTAACCAGCACCCAGAGCTCCCAAATGCATTTGGAATCTTCCTGCTCACTCACAAGATGGGGCAGGTCTTTTATGTGTGAATAAAAAGAGTGTAAACGAGCATCCCAGCATTCACACATAAAAAATGCATTGTTAGGAGTCAAGTGGAGGTCACCCTCTGCCTCCAATGTTTTGGTAGAAGACTTAGCATCAGTCTGTGGGAAATACCCTTTTTGACCAAGTCCCTTCACTATCTCCTCATACACATGTCTGATCACCCTGATGGGAGCATTTGGCACTGAACGCGAATCTACCTGAAATAATGATCTTGGTGCACTTCTGCTTCTTAAGGAGGGCCACTGTTTTATCTGAGGTCAATAAACTGGAATGAAAAATGAAAGTCAGAGTTTATCCATTGCTTGATAATGAAATGCACACACCACATCACCACGTTGTCAAAGCTACGAAAGTGGGCCTCTGCAACCAAGTGAATATTCTTCACAAAATGGCAGCATCATTTTCATATTACAATTAAAATGCACTGATATTCATTTGATATAAATATTTTCTCCCAGGATGGAGTGTAGGAAAATACTATACACTTACTTTGCTTTGCAAGAAATCTTTTTGCACCGTCAGTTGAATAATTTAGCCTCAATCTGCCACAATAGATCTTTTCTATGTACAAATACTATTGGTGCACAGATATATTCTATTCTACAGCATCAACCTTTGACGCTTGGGTCTTGAGTTGGCTCGGGCAGTATTATAAACATACAGCTTGGACACAGAAAGCCTCCTGCACACAGATGTCCTGCATAGATCCCAACTCCACACAGGGCATTGCACCGGTACTGACTCACCAGAAACGGAACCTAAAACACAATCCTCAATTTTGAGAAGAAACACTATCTCATAATACAATGAACAGTTCCATTAAAAAAAAGTTGCTTAATGTATTTAAAGGATTTGAGGGCAAAACTTAATTTCTGCTCCTTTCTAGATCTATGACTCCACCTAAACTGTAAAAGAGCAATTTGAAGTCATGTATCAAGCAGCAACTAGTTTAAATGGGGTAGAATGTGTACAACTAGGGAGTTAGGGATTTGAAAGAGCTTTGCAGACTTTTACTCATTTCAACAGGATTATGCTACTTCATAGAATTTGGAGCAGCTTGTAGAGGCAGGACTTTGTGGTTTCCTAACGACTAATAATTGTCAAACGATGGTTTCTTATTTTTATTTAATGGCAATCAAAATATTACAAGAGAAAGTGTAGGTTTAGATCTCTTAACAATAGCACTGAACTTCCCCTAGCATCCATTTGACTTTTAGCAGTCCTCTCATGCCCGTCCTGTAGCTGGTCCCTGCCTCCCTCCTTTTTCAAGAAGTGGCAAGTTGGCATACTAATTATCAGCCTCTTTTACTTCCTTAGGAAAGCAATACAAGGATTAAATCCAAAATTATAGTGCATCTTAAAAGCAGCATACCTTTAGATAGACAATAAATTACTTGTATAATATACAAAATAATGTTTTCTACTGCAGCATCACCTCTGACGCCTGAGTCATTGTTAGGGAACTGGGAAGAGAAGTAGCAGGATGGCCTACTAATTTTGCTAGCTCTTTTTTTTCAGTTTTTGTAGCTGTTTTGTTCCAGAATCAGTATGTTAATGAAGCTCGATTTTATTCAAGGCACCCCCAGATAACGCAGAGAAAAGAACACATACAACAAAGCACTCACCTGCCCAAAGCCTGTCCAACCTGAATGAAATGAGGTTGTCTGGAAACACAAGTAGAACAAAGGATGATCCAAGGGGAGAACTAGATTCAGGCCCTGTCAGCTACTCATGGGGTTGCACCGCGCCCATCTCCACACCCAAGCTTTTACCCCAAACAGCCTGACACAGGGATCCTTCCAAACAGTCCTTCATTGGAGAGGCCCCTATTTTTCGAAGGAAGGACCCTTAAACACACAGCTAAATGTTACCCCACTGTGCACACTATTCCTTGCTGTTCACTCATTTTTCTTTTACAAAAAAGACATGGGCCTCACTTAGGTATCCCAGAGAAAGGAGACAGGCTGGTTTTCAAAATAGCACTTGGGGCAATTGGAGTCTGGTCCCAGCTAGTTCTCCCTTTGACTCAACTAAGAAGTAACTTTGACAAACACATGGTTCAGAGAAATAAAAGGACACAGATATGTCACAGAAACAATTGCACAAAGCCAGTCACTGTTCTTTGTGGATAGTGAACAACATAATAATAGCAACTTGTTAAAAATCTTGAAGAAATTGAAAGAGTTTTTCTGAGCAGTGTTTTTAACCAGTTCCCATGGCAGGGTTTTGGTTGGGGAAGAGGAAGAAAATTGAGGAGGGGAGTAAGGGTGGAAAGAAATAGAACCCCTTCTCCACCCAGAAATGGCTGCCACACAGGTGTTGTGTGCACCAAACAATGGAAACAGGAAAAGGATGGAATGTGGTCAAGACTACCAGTTGCACATGAGTTGTTACCAGGATAATTCATGCCAACAAGCTGGTTTGGACCTGGTTATGATATGAGCAGAAAACATTCCTTTTTTAAAAGAAGAGGAGGTCACTTAAAAAAGGCAACAAGAGAGGTGAGAAACAAAATACTGCTGGCTGACTCCTCTACCACGACACACTCTGTGATGGATCATGTGATTCACATTGAGTTTAAATTCTAGCTGTCACCAGTTTTCCACAAAGGCAAACCTCTTGGTGAAGCAAGGAACTGTTCTACTAGGCCAAGAAATTCCAACAACCATAATAAAAATGGCAGCTCCACATAGCGCTTTATCAAAGTCAGTCTCATACAAAGGCGCACGTGCACGCACACGCACGCGCTCGCTCTCTCTCTCTCTCTCTCTCTCACACACACACACACACACACACACACACACACACACACGAGAAAAAGCAAAAAACCCAGAGGCAGGTTTTAAAAGTGGAACTATTTTAAAAGAAAAGTCTTTTTTTTTTTTTTTAAATCCTACTGCATGAACCAACACATTTCTGGCATTCATACATATTTAAACATTTAGCACTAATATTTGTACAGAAAAAAGTTAATAATACTAAAACATGTTACTATGATTTCACTTTTCGCCTACATCATATACTAATTTCCCCTTTTACATGCAGCTTTAATATTGTCCAAACAATGGCACAAATAAAGAAACGAAGTCAATCATCTAGTCCCCACTGCCCACCACCCCACCCCACATCAAACCGTTGGGGGACTCTCTTTCACAGCCAGGCTGGAGGGCCTGCTGGATAAAGGGAGGGAGCTGATTCCTCCTCCTCCGTGTGGCCGGACAGCGGGCTCACCTTCCTGTAAACGTGGCCAGGGGCCAACACACCTCCAGAGCCAAAGGAAGCTGCTCTCTGCGGGTTGCGAGCCAACCAGTTTTGCAGCAAGAGAAGAAATCAGGTGAGGGTAGGTGTGTGTGTGTGGTTGTGGTTCCGGAGGGGCTTAGGGAGGGGATTATGGTGTCCAAAGCCTCAGAATGAAATCTGCCTTCAGACAAGAGACCGGAGGAAAAACCCCAGAATTCAACTCAAAGCATTTGGAGAAAGAAGGGAGATAAAAATGCTTTTGCCTGTGCCTGGAACAGACCTCAGGCTCACATCTGCCCTGCTCTCTTTCTCTCTGGATGAGCTGCACTAACATGGGTGGCCAGGCAGGACCCCCCCTGAGCTAAGATTCAAATCCCCTCAGGTGTGCTGTCCTGGGAGGGAAGCTGGGTGGCTGATCTGCCAAGTCCTTCGAAGGGGAAGGTCCTACTGCACTACACTTCCCAGAGCAAGCAGAGGCCCCGTGAAGTGCTGAAATGAATGGGACTTACTCCCTGGATGAGAAAACAGTTCTAACTTGATTTCTAGGAGCCAATGCCTGCTGAGTTCTGGTATAAAATCATGAATTCCTACCGTTATCATGCACTTCTGACTGAGACGTCCAAACTCTCTCCCCACTTAGAAATCTGAACATCCAGCATCAACTCTGAATTCTCTATCTGCACTTAAACTTTGTTTAGGGAAGGGTGGGGAGGAGGTGAAATATAAAAATATTCAAGCAGATTATTGTCTACACATCCTAGGATGAATTCATTATTTGGCAAGATTGTTTTTCCTACATAATTATCACCTGAGTGCTTTTTTTAATTAGCTAAAATGTTTTACTTTTCAACTAAAAGCAAGAATATACAGTATACTTGAGTTATACTGAAGTTACAACTTCATTTAAGAAAATAGGTTTGACCCAAAACTCAGTGCAAGTGGCAAAGTTGACCATGACTGTACAGTATCTGCAAGAAACAAACAAACCCACAATGCTCAAACGACACCATCTGATGGTGCCAAAGCCAAACCAAACCGAACGGAAAAAAAAAGGTCTGAAAAGAAAACCTCAAAAATAGCTTCCAACATGGAATTCTGTCCATAAATAAGTACGAATTGAAATGGAACTGTGAAGCAAGAAAAATGAGCATGTTAACGGTTACCAAACTAGTTCTAGCATCAGAGACAAAAGAAGAGGAATGTTGGAACCTGTTCATAAACGAGAAATGAAGTTTCCAGTTATAGGATGAGAAAATTGAGGCATGCAGGACTTTTGCATATGGAGATATATATATAATTTTATATATATTATATATAATATGTACAGTCTAGCTATAAAACTTTGATGTGTATAGAAGCTGTCTTCAATGAAAAAAATTGAACATTCAGAAGAAATTCCTGAGATAGGGTTTGTGACATGGGCCACTGAGAAAAAAAATCCGTGGTTGGGTCCTAGAGGTGTTATAGTCTATCCCTGTTAAGATTGAAATTAACCCACAGACAGACAGTGTTATCACTGCTGTCTTTCCTTGCCTGAGCAAGGGGTAGCACCATTGTGAAGGTAACTATATGTCACTCCTGCTTGAAAGAGGAGGGAATATTTAGAAACAGTATTGCTGCTGAGACCGCTGTAGTGTGCACCAAATTCCTTCTTGGTTCTTCCAGACAACAGATGAACAGGCCATAGGCTGACCGAAGAACACCTGGGTGGGGTAGGTGTGGACTGGAGGAGGCCGGGACGCTAGGTGTAATCTTTCCTGGGCTGTTCATCAGTTGTACACTTGTCAGTCATTTCCTGGCAGAAGTCTACGGTCACCGTCTGGCTCCTGGGTTCTAGAGGAGGGCCTCTTTCTGGGAAGGTTCCTGGGTCGGTGCCTTCCAACCTCCTTGCAGAAGTACAATTCTCTGAGGTGTTGCTGGGGCCCCAGGGGGGGCCAGGGGGAGCTGCACCCTGCTCCAGGCAGCAGGACACACTTTCCCCTGCTGCACACTGGGAGGCAGCAAGGTTCTGCTCGACGCCCAAGGGTGCAGGGTTAATACTGGAGGCTGCAGGGAGACCCATGGGTCTGAGGACAGGGCAGTACCGATGCAGGGCCTGGATCTGCTCGGGACTCTGAATATCTCGGCAGACTTCTTGGGAAAGGCAGGAGAAGTTGTCTAACAGTTCCCCCATGCATGCTTTCAGTTGATTCCTCTCTGACAACAGCTTCTCTTTCTCACATACCTGGACCACAGAGACAAAAGAGAGGGCCTGGTCAAGTCTCAACTGGACAGACGATACAAGACCTTATTTCTGGGGGTTTCCAACCTTTGTTGCTGCTGTCCTACATTTAGTGTTCATGAATTACTAGGTCAGGATGTAGAACCTTAAGCCATACATATCTAGAGAGGCTGGACATATACTTCTGCCAAGTCTCCCACCTGAGCAGCCCATCCAGATGTGCCACTCTGACACCTTCCCTGTGGCATCTCTTTATCTGTTTCTGAGGCCTGGTGATAGGGCCAGCAAAATCTCCACCAACCAGAAAACTGCTGGGAACCAAGATTCTGCTTTTCTGGAATTTGTAGTTTGCAGAGATTCGACTGGAAAACTCTCAGTCTCCAATCTTGTAGTTGATAATCTCCCCCTGATATATTATCTTTTGAGACTGACCAATTCCAACTATAGGACACTCTGGAAAAAGGCAAAACTATGGACAATGAAAAGATCAGTTGTTGCCAGTTGTTAGGGGTGGAAGCATAGAGGATTTGAGGGGCAGTGAACATATACTTTGTAGATGATAGTGACAGATACATGTCCAAACCCACAGAATGTAGAACACAGAGAGATTTAAGGTAAATTATGGACTTTGGGTGATATCAATGTAGGTTGATAATTGTAAAAAAATGTACCACTATGTTAAGGGATGTTCCTGAAGGAGGAAGATGTATGTGTGTAGGGGCAGGGAACATATGGGGACTCTTTTTCATCCACTTTTGCTGTGAACCTATACTGCTTTATTAAAGAAACTCTATATAAAAAAAATCAATGGGGGAAAAAAAAAAACACTGGCAATTTCTTCTGGTTCAACCCAGAATTAGCAGGATGTCTTGTCTTTGTGGCAGAGGAGACTCAATGTGACAGATCCTCCCTAGGACAACTGAGGCTTGAGCACTGGTCCTGCCTGGAAGCAGGGAGGGTAGAGGCTGCACCCTGGCATACTAGCTCCAGGTTCTGAGATGCTCTTCTCCTTAAAGAAAATTCTACACAAGGGCTTGTATTACTGAGTCCTCATCCCATCAGAGAGATGAATTCAGCTGCCAGATGGGAGGCTGATTAAGGTTTCATCATTACTATTTGTGTGAGGAGAGGAGACAGGGAGGCAATATGGCACACATGCGCCGGCTGGGGACAACTGGACATCTGAAGCACAAGAAGTGAGTTGTCACCAGCTCCATGCAAGGGTGAGGAGAAAGAGAGGTGAGGAGACAATGGGAAAGAGAATGAAGCAGGAAGACACAGAAGGGGGGGGGGAGGGAGAGAGTGAGGGAGGGGGCAAGCATATGACATGGGGGTCCCCTCCACGAGAGCTGCACGTGCCGTCACATGAACGCAATCTGGCAGGCAGCGTGGGCATGTGTGTCGGAGACAGAGATTTACACGGGGAAAGGGCACCTGCTAAAATATTTATAAATTTATCAAGAAAACATGTTTTAAAAATGAAAAATAAACAGATGTACAAGTGCAACTCGAGAGAAATACATTATGCGAGTTTGCAAAAACTGAGTGTGGTGCGGAGACAGCGTGGGAGTGGGGGTGAGTGTGCACGTGCCAGGGACTTGCAGGCGGGATCTGCCTCCCCACCTGCCTCTCTGACCTTGCCGCTCAGACCAGGTGAGTGGATGTGGCACCCTAGTTAGAAGGGTGGCTAAGAAACAAGGTCTAACACACCTGGCTGTACAACCTGGATCTCCCTCCCTGTAATCTAGAAATCTTCAAAGTGAGAGGTGATATGGTCCAGCCCAAGGAGGGGAGTCCCAGTCTCAATTCAGGTGCATCCTCTTGGCCAAACCACTGACCCTTCCTTCCACACCTACTCATTTGTAAATGATTCTAGGCCACTTTCTAGGGGAAAGAAAATGAGGTACAGCGGGTGACAGTGTTGGCTCTCTGCAGGAAAGGCAGTGGAGAGCAAGGCCTCTGTTAAGGGCATGAAGCTCTAAGTCACAGAGCTACACTGATGGACACGAAACCCACTCAGCTGTGAACTGCAGCCTACTGTGGCGGTTTTAAAAAAAAAGGCAGGGGGAGAACAAGGAGATGCCCTCTTGGTGCTTCAATAGAACACGAGCAAAGTATGGCTCAGATCTGCCTGCTGTGTGGCTCAGTTTACGTACTTGTTTAGGATTATAAAATTTCATGGAAAAGAATGTAGCTACACAAGTCAGGTATTTCTCAAATATGGGTAATGAGAAGTGTTCAACTACCAGAAAAGAAGTACAAGCTCAGGGCTTCCCTGGTGGCACAGGCGGTTGAGCGCAGCGCTGTTAAGCTGTCCGCAGCCTCTGCAGTGCTGGTTCAATCCCCACCAGCCTCGGAGCAACCCACATGGCAAGCAGACCTCTCCTGCCTTGCCCGCTGCTCCCCTCAGCAGTGTATTTCGTCAGTCTGCCTATTCTGTTCCTCGCTCTGTCTCTGGTGAATCCTCTCACACTCCTGTGCATCTGGCCTGTACCCCGGCTCTTGTATAAATAAAAAATAAATCTTAAAAAAAAAAAAAAAAGAAGTACAAGCCCAGCATTACCATGACACGGGCCTGAGGCCCTGATGATGGGCACTGTGGCCTCAGCCTAGCCTGGGCCCCTCCCACAGCCCAGCAGGCTCTCAGGAGACCCACACTCATAGCAGCGAAGTCTTGCTTCTTCAGGTGGCTTAAGTTAAAACAATATTGGTTATTAAAATAAAAATAACATTAGAGAAAAACTTGAAAGACATTCATTCATAGTCCCACAACTATTTACAATTTTTAGAAAATTTTAGGGCAACAGATGATCAAGTCACTGTCCTTGTCATGAAGAACCAGTGGTCCAGGGATGGGGGTTGGGCGGACGGACACACACACAGGTGATGTAGGACCAACATTCTCAGCATGGTGCCAGAGGTCAGATTAGGGCTCCAGGCACCTGGCCTCCCCAGGACTCCAGGAAAGGGCCTCCTGGAGAGGTGATGGTACCTGACGTGGTCAGAAAAAACAGTGGAGAAAGGACCAAGACAGAGAGCAAACTGCAGAGGCAGATGCCCCAAGGAGCAGGAAATGGGGCTAGGAGGCAGGGCAGACACTGTGGGGTCAAGTTGAGCAGGAGTAGAAGGTGATGCTGGAAGGGCAGCTGCAGACTGAGTCATGGGGAACGTGGAGCTTGGGCTTTCCCTGGATGGAAGCCACTAAACACGTCAGGCTTTCCTCTGCTTGGTGTGGGTTAAAAATAAAGAGCCTGAGGTGTAGGGCTATGTTAGTAACAGGGAACATTTCCTCATGCTTTTCAAATGTCTTATCTTTGTTCTTAGGTTCTCATTGGGTCAGTAGCTTCTCATGAGGTGAAGAGCTACCACAGAGAGTCTGAGGGTCCCACTTTAGAAGGTGACCACATTATGTGGCCTCCCTATTCTTCAGCCTGACCTAGACAGCGTTACCTGAGAGGAGTTTCCAGTACCTAGCCAGAAGAATGATGGAGCTGAATAAGGCTGGGCTGACTGGTATCCAAGCTGCTGTCAGGAGCCACAGGCCACCTGGTGGTTCCTGCAGCCGAAGGTTGCTTATCACGGAGCAGGGAACGCTCAGGTATGAGTGTGGTGGGGCCTGGGAGATGGGAGTTAGTTACCTGAGATAAAACACTTCCAGGCACAGGGAAAGGGTGGAAGTCATTTCGAGGCAGAATTACAAAATCAAGGACCTCGGGCTGTGAAAGAATTTGGATCATGTGGCTGAGCGACTGTGGGCCGTTTCCTTTTACCTACTCTTTTCTGTGGGAGGCAGGAGAAGCAGCGGGAAAACACAAGATTTGGAATGAGACAATGGTTGGCATTTAAGCTCTACCATGCACCGGGAAATTACCTAACCTCTCTGCACACTAGTTACTCCTGTGTAAATGTGGATAAACAGTACCTAAGTCATAGGGTGGGTGGTAAGATTAAATATGATCATCTATGAACATAGTGTGAAATAATACATGGTCCATCTATGCACGCAGTAAATAAATGTTAGCTGTCATTACACGTCTAATGAAAAATAAACCGAAAATTCTCTGAATGGTGGCCCTGTGCTCTACCTCTCCAGGCTGTAACTCCGCACCATTTCTGCACACGTTAGGTTACTGGCTGCAGTGGATGGGTCAACTCACCAATTTGCGGATTTCACATTCTAAATTCTGAATGCAGTCCAGTTTCCTCTTGCGGCAGCGCTGGGCTGCAATGCGGTTCTTGCTGCGCCGTCGGACATCGTGAATGAACTCTAACTGTTCTGAGGTTAGCTTGTGCATCTTAATCATCATCTGGAAATCGTTCCTTGGAAGATCTGTGATTTGATCTACAGGAAAGGGAAGTTTGACCTGGAACAAGAATAATATCATGTGATATGACAGTTGGGTTTTAGTTTTAATGCTGGCAGGTAGAACATCAAAAAATGGTAAAACCTTCTCAAGATGAGCTAGTAATATGGACACTACTGAAAGCAAGCAGTGATGAACTTTTTCCTGTTTCAGATATAAATAAGATGGAATACCCAGATAATAAAACAGAAGATGAACACACAAGTTACAATTTGGTTGTCATTCCTGAGATTTTTGGAGCCGACGGGATGGAGATTACTGAAGATGTAAGTCTTCATTGCTATGGCACCTTTGTAAAAAGGGCTCGATAGTAGAAACTTATTTCCCTAAGACTTCATTGAGTCTCTTTCAATAAAATGACAATTTAGAGACAGATACCATCTAAGGACTAAAACACTTTGAAGGTGCTGGAACATTGAAATAGTCGGCCTGGCTCTTAGTTACAGCAGCAAGATTAGGATTTAGAAGAACTGGACTCTGATCCTTCCTACAGGACACAAGACCTCAGGCTAGTGGTTTCTTTGAGCCTCGATCTCCTCTTCTGCAAAATGGGGCAAGTTTTTGGTCTGCACAGTGCTGTACTAGGGTCAGGCACTTTGGCAGAGTGTATTTTCCAAAAATGGCCATCCCAGCTCACATTTCTTTCTGCAACAGGGTGTGGGTATCCCTCTATCAAGAGGTGGGGTGCAATTTCCTGCCTCTTGACCAATATAAAATGGTGGGAGTACTGAGGTCACTTCTGAAACTAGATCATAAAAGGGACCACATCTGCTCAGATAGCTCTTTCTGGAAGAAACCAGCTGCCATGCCTTGAGGACACTGGAGCAGGCTAGGGAGGGCCCAGTGGAGAAGGATGGAGGTTCCAGCCTCCAACAAGCCTTGCCTTACTGGTCACATGAGCAAGCCACCTGCACAAGAATCTCCCAGCCCTGTCATACCTTCAGGGGACTGAAGCCCCAGTCAATATGATTTCAACCTTACAAGATACTCTGAGCCAGAAGTGTGCAGGTGGGCCACTCCTGAACACCTGACCCACAGAAATGGTGAGAGAGGTAAAATAATTATTGTTTTAAGTCACTAAACTTCGGGGTGATTTGTTGTGCAATAATATATAACTGCAGAAACTATTCTCAGCAAGATTCTTACTATCAAACTTTCAACAAATCAAGAAGCATGGTCAAAGTCTCTTGAGGAATGTACATGTGTGTTCTTATAGTCTGCTAAATTCTTGCATACAACCCATGACAGTTTGAAATACAGGCAGCTCTCTGTATCCATGGGTTGGAGTCAACCAACAGTGGATGGAAAATATTATATATAAGACTTCAGACCCTGAGTCTGAACATATACCAATTTTTTTCTTGTCATTATTTCCTAAACACTATACAATATGACTCTACATAGAATTTACAATGAAGTAGGTATTAAAAGCAATCTAGCCACAATCTAAAGATTATGGGAGGATACACATAGGTTTTATGGAAACATATGCCATTTTACATAAGGGACTGAGTATCTGTGGATGTGAGGGTCTTGGAACCAGTCTCTGGTCGATGCGGAGGGATGATTGTATTTAAGAGTAAGAACAGCTGATCTCCAAGGTCTCCTCAGCTCCCACAAAGGTGGAGAACAGGCTTTCCAGCATTTTGTCACTACCCTTTCCAAGACCCATGCTAATGCAAGGGCTTCCAGATTCAGTTCTGGTCCTATTTTAGCAGCTCTAGAAAAAGGAAGGCTGAGTGTTGCTTGGCCAAGAGACAAAGCATTTTCCAGCTCAGGCTGCTTCCTCCTTGCTACCATTAGTGTCCGCTGTGCATGGACCAGCAGATGGCACTATAAACTTATATTTGCTTCAAGCCCCAACCAGCACTGTCCAATGCAAAAGTCAGCCACACATGTGATTTTACATTTCCTAGCAGCTATATTAAAAGACGCAAAAAGAAACAGGTGAAATTAATTGCAGTAACATATTTAACCTGACGGATCTAAAATATTTTCAACATATGATGAATATAAAAATTATTAATGAGATATTTTAAATTGTTTTGATAGTAAAATGTCAAAATGCAAAGCCTATTTTACACTTGGAGCAGATCACAATTCAGACTAGTCACAATTCTAGGAATCAACAGCCACACTAGGCTATTACACTGAAAAACACAGATTTAGAAGACTGAATAAATACACTTGAGTGAACTGGAGTAACAGAAAAACAGCTGGGCAGATCTGAGTTTAATTGAGCAAAATATTTTGGGTGAAGAAATCAGCCCTTTGTTAGTATTCAGATGCTGCAGAGTTATACCTGTAGGGCTCAGGTGAGTGAGAGGAAGATATTTTATCCTGAGCTTAGGCCTTTTCTTTGGCGGCATCAGATGCAGGCAACACGAGTCCAGATCCTGGCATTTGAGCCTAGTCAATACTCATGCACAAAGGAAATCATGCTAAGTGGTCATTTGACTTTTGCATGGCTGGGTGCAATTGCTCTGTCAGGTTACTTCATAGCTAGGAGCCTGTGAGACGTGGCATTTGCTGAAGGCTCCCAATGGATGCTCTCATTCAATTTCCACGTGGTGAACTCTGTCCCATGACACCTGTACAATCTTGGCCCAAGAGAGCAAAGTCACCACAGAGTGCATTACAGTGCTCTCTCCTCAGCCCTCACTGACGGCTAAAGGCGGCCGCAGGGACAAACAGCTCCTTGTTGTGGGCCCGGGAAAGGGCTTTGTCCATGGGGCTGTGTTTGCCCAGGGCTTATAATGATATAAAAGACTGTTTGATTTCCCTTTTATGCCCTTTGGATAACAGACACTCAGATCCTGGACGGTTCCTAAATAACACAGAGGTCTGTGTGTTGGGGACACGGAGGTTTCCACACCAGGCAGAAGCCTTGTTTGCACAGCAGAGTTTGCAGCACTTTGGCCCTTGTGGCGTCTCCCCCTCTGCTGACAACAAAGCAATTCTGCTTCTGCTCTCAATTGTGTTTACTTACTTTCAGAAAGAAAATATACCTATAGTTCCGGCTACACAGAGAGTCAAAAGGCCTTCTGTACCAAGTGCTACTGTATTTAAAAATCATCTACACAGCGAATATAAAACTCTAGGAGAAAAGCACAGGAGAGGCTGACAGGAAATAGGAAAAATCAACAATGCTGGTTTCAAAGTCCTTGAAGCAAAAGGCCATATAAAATTTCAGCAGAGCTGTCGCAACTCAAGCTGCTCTCTAAAGAGGTCAAAGGAAAAGAAAATAGTCGGCTATAGACTTCTTCCATATGAAAAAAAAAACAAAACAAAACAACAAAACAAGACAAAACCAACTACTCTAGTTTGTTTTGACTCTGTTACTTCTCTGGCTAAGGAGAACTTACACCGACTTCCAAGAGGGAAGTCCCTGAAGAGTTTTTGGAAAGGCACAGAGGGAATGTCACCACATCTGTTTAACATTTTCAGAGTAGTAAGTTTCAAGCCAATGGGCATCTTCCCTGGAGATCAAGGGCCGCCACAGAACCCCTTAAGGGGCTGAGGAATATTCCATTCAGAGGTTAACAGACACCCAAACATTCCCCAAGTGGGGCCCAAAAGTCAACTGATAGGACTTAGCCTTGGAAAGTTGAACACATCTCCCTCCTCTCCACCAGAGAATTCTTACAATCAATATAGGCCCAATAGAACTTAATGTCTTATTTACTATCCCTCTTCTTCCTCACCCCCACTGTTCTTTCAGGATTTTACTTTTCAGCAGTGGTTTGATTTTCATTTACTGGACTCCCATAGGTAACTGCAAAACACCCACAGTGACAAGGTAAAGAGTCCTCCCACTTCCTCCAGCCCCTGTCTAACAAGCCGGCTTACAGCCTACAGGACTAATGAGCGACCACAGGTCTTAACCTGTGCACTTAAGAGGGCTGCATACAAGGGAAAAGGCCTGTGGCACTCGAGGATGCTGACTTCTCTTTAGGCCCAGGGGGCTATCTAAGGTGCTGTCCCCCTTTGGTTCTCTGTATAGACTGAGTCACCACTGAGTCAGCAAACTGAGGGCCAAACAGGGCACTGAGAAGTGCTGCCACAGCCAGTATGACCTGCCACTGTTTTTTTTTTTTTTAAGATTTATTTTATTTATTCATTCATACAAGAACTGGATGTAGGTTAGACATGCGGGGGGAGAGGGGGTAGTGAGAGGATTCACCAGAGACAGAGTGAGGAGCAGAACAGGCAGATCTACTGAAATGCACTGCTGAGGGAAGCAGTGGGTGAGACAGGAGAGGTTTGCTGTGCCACGTGGGTCAGCTACCTGGCCGGGGATCAAACCTGTGCTGCAGTGGCTGCCAAAAGCTTCATAATGCTGCGACTTAACCCCTGTACCACCACGGAGGCCCCACCTCACCATACCTCTTAACACACATTTCCCTTGCTCGGTGTCTGGTTTGCTGGATGGGAGCTAATGGGGGTGCAGGATGGAGAGGCAAATGTATGAACAATCAAAAACAGACATCTATTTGTTCTAAAATTACCAGCAGTAGCTAGTTTGTGTATCTCCTATTTCTTCACTTGGTTTCACTACCAGCTATAAGTCTAAGTCACAACAGTCAGTCAGATCCTGCTAACAACACCCTGAGGTACTTTACCACCTTTGCTTTGAAGACATCTCAAACCCCTAGGTGTTGTCAGGGGAGGAGGCAAGATGCCTACTGGGTTGATGATTCTAATACAGCTGGAATGGGGACAGCAGCACAATGCCAGGCAGGTGCCAATGACAAAGTAACCCCCTTGGACAAGAAATATTTCCTTTTCAACTGTCCTTCTACACTTTATCCTCATGGCCCAGTTTCTGGAACAAATGCAGGACACCTGGGACTTAGCTTGATACTGCAATTAACTAGTTGTGTGATCTCAGGCAAGACTTTCATTTCCTCTGTCCTTAAGTTTTTTGAGGATTTGCAAGTCATAGGGAAACAATATCTGCCCTACTTAGCTTATAAGGTTGCCATGAAAAATAAAATTGG